TCTGGATCTGGCTTATAAATATAGCCCAGGCATGAACTTTCATTCATTCTCCATCTGTTAGATGAAATGGTGAGTTGCCATAGTGTGGAAGATACTGGAGCTATAAAATGCAAGGTGCCTGGTTTCCAGAATTAGTCTTCTATCCAGGAACCATGATCGAGTGTCAGAATGAGAAATCAGCACTGATAGGGCAAAACTTGAAGGTTCATCCATTTCAGCCAGTTCAAGACAGTTGTGGAAGGGTGCACAATGTGATTTCACAAGGTGAAATAATACAAAAAGGATTCAGCTGCCTTTGGTTTTCTGTGCCTGGGCGGAGCTTTCAGGCAAGTCTAATAAAAGGGAATGTGTGAGAAGGAACCATCTGAAGTGGGAAATGCCGCTAGGCTCCCCCATAAAAGATGAGTGCTGTGGGCAGTAAAGTGAGCTCAGAAGGAAAACATGATGAATGTTTTCTTGGCTTGAAGAAGCAAAGTCCCCTTTCACCATCCCACGTGGCTGGAGAGAGCAAGAGGCCCTGTGGAGAGCCTGACTCAGGGAATGTGGAGGCTGACCTCTCCCTGGAGCCCTGGCAAGGGGCATGGGTGGAGGTGTTAGAGACATAGCTTGACTTCTCCATCACCTCCCAGACACCACGAGTCTTTTTGAGGTTGAGGTTTCCACTCAGACATGGGATGAAATCCTGGACTTCCCAAGTTTCACAGCCAAGATACCTCCCATAGGAAAATGGAATCTAAAGTCGTGAAGCAGCAGGGAGGGCATGATAAAATTTGATCTGTGAAGGTGGACATCTTCTTCTCTCTCACCCAGAGCTCATCCACCTCAGAAGTATGTGTCTTCTCTGTGTTGCCTACCACCAGAAAAATTTCTTTTCTCTTCAATTTTAACATTCCCATTAATGTTTTCAAAGTAAAATTCAAGGTACCTTACCCATAAACCTATCTCTCTTTATTTTATTTTTTATAACACTTAGTTTGGGCCTCAGTTGGAATCCTGTCTTTGTTACTTGCCAATTCTGTCATTTTGTGTGAGTTTCAGTTTCCACAACTATAAAATAGAGACTGCAATACAAGTCCTACAGGGTGGTTACAAGGGTTATAGGATATTGCCTTGCATAAGGTATAACATGCAATAAACACTCAATAAAAATTAGCTTCCTCCTAAAAGTCAGCAGCATATATGCTCTTTACCACCAGTTTAACACATGTCTTGTTTGCCCTTTCATATGACATCTTAACTCCTCAGACAAACTGAACTCTTCTAAGGTAAAAGTTTTCTGCATCTGAAGACTACATTGAATAGTTCTGAGCATTGTTAACTGTCAAACCGTCTTCCTATAACTGTTTGTATTAATCTGAACAAACAAAAATGATGACTCTCATTCTCTACCACTGAAGTCATGAAACTACAGCTTTATCGAGGCCTTGCAGGTTATAGATCCAGATTTGAAAATTCCTGAAGATTTTTTCAAGTAAGAACACTAGAAAAGAAGTATAGGAACAAAAATGTCTGGCCTCTACTAAGCACACCTTCTAGTGAAGATGTCACTGCCCCCAGAAGGAATACAAGCAAACATATACATGATACCTGCATTTGTGTTACTGTCACATGCTTAGAGAGTCCTCCTGACAATTTCTGTGTTCACGAGCATCATCCTCATTATTCAGTCACTCCCTAACTTCCTGAAACCTTTACATCTACAAAAACTCTGACCATTCTCCTAAGTTCAATTAAGTCCAATTTTTTTAATGAAAGAACCCTGACCTGACCTTCTTATCCTATGCATTTTCCATGTTGTTTTTTATGTCATTTGCCACATATGAATGATTGACTAAAAAGGGAGCCCTTTCAAGAGAGAAATCATGGGGTCTAGAGAGGTGGCTCAGCTATACCATATTCCAGCACTTATATAACAAGCCAGTTGTGGTCCCTTGCTGACTTCCAGCCCAGTCAAAAACAAGAGGTCTATATTCAATCTTCACTATCCCTGAAGAAACAAATTTGGTTGACAAATTTGTCAATGAAAATGTTTATGTACTGAGCATCTATGATAGCCCAGAATCTGTCCTACCAGTTAAGAATTTACAAACAAACAAAATGGACTTTCTCTATGGAAAAATAACTGAGAGTGAACCATCTCAACCTATAAAAGAATAATCCTTTTAAGAAACACCCTTTTATAAAACCAGAGTACAGAATATAATATTGCATTATGATTTTATTAAAAACTGTAAGAATATTCTTTTTATTTTTTAGATAATTTTGCTATAACATTTATCCCTTTCCTCCCTCCAAATCCTTCCATATGCCCCTCCTTTGTCTCCTTCAAATTCATTGCCTCTTTAGTCACTCTTAATACATGTATATGTATACATACTTACATATATAGTCCTAAGTATAGCCTGCTAAGCTTGTCTAATGTTATTTGTATGTTTCCAGGTTTGACCATTTGACTCTGGACAACCAATTGGTATGCTCTTCCCCAGAGAAGACCACCTCTCCAGCTCCCAGATTTCTTCATTTGCCTATAGCTTTTTGTGTAGGGTTGAGGCCTCATGGACTTTTCTCTAACTAGCTTGGCATTAGAAAATAATCTTGACAAATTCTTTTTAATTATATTTTTATTCATTTTATGCATGCTTTGCCAATGTTTAAGTATGTGTATCACATTCATGTACAGTTCTGACAGACATCAGAAGAGGGTATCAGATCCCCTTCAACTATAGTTTCCAAATGATTGTGGTATATATAACATGTGGGTACTGCGAATCAAACCTGGACCTGTAGTGGCATCTTTTTCCACCAATAGACTTGAGGTGATAGCTGTAGGGTTCGGCTTCAGTGTTTGAACATGACCCTTTATAAGGAAGAGGAGGAGGGTCTCACTCAGGCTCTCTCGGGTTATGGTAATCTCAGCATCCTAGATTGCAGACCCTGTGCTTGCAGGGGCAGAAGACCACGGCAGTTATTTGCCATCATTGTGTGAGTGCTCCTTAAATAAATGTCTGTCACTCTTTATTCCGGTGTTCAGGGACTTCCTTTAATCCGCCTTCACTTTCCACACAACGTGGGGTAAGAACCCATGACCCTGAGATTAGGAGTTTTATGCTCTACCAACTGAGCTAGCAGGGCCATGGTGGTGAAAGCATTGCCTCATAGCCAGTAGACCACCAAGGATACACACAGATTCTGACTCAAAAATGTAAGAATTCTACCCTTAGTTGTAACCTCAGGAAATTCTAAGGGAAATAATATGCCATGAAATATGCAAAACAGAATTTCATGAACTATCTTCATGAAAAAGATCAATCATGGTAAAATAAATAGTGAACCCTGAACTTAACCATATGCAATGTATCTCAGAAAGGTAACACATAGGGACCCTCTGCAAGAGCAACAAGTGCTCTTATCTGCTGAGCCACCTCTCCAGCCCCATCTTAAAAAATTCTCTTCCAGATATGTGTTGCCCTTTCTCATCCTCACGTGCACATGGAACCCATGCCATAGTGTGAGCTTAAGTGGTTTAGGTTATCCAATAGAGCCAAAGTTATCGAAATTGTCTTATTTGGTGCTCTAAAATTTAGAGTAGAAACGATTGTTCAGATTATTCTTTCTAAATAAAAGCATGGAAATGTCTGTGCCCAAGCTTGTTGCGTGCTATATTACAGTTATTACCTAGGACTTCAGAGGGCACTAAACCAGTGAACAGTGCTTAGTCTACTAATACTCAGAAAGAAAGAACCAAGTGCTTCACATGTAACTACTTTTGTTCCATCATTCTGCAGAGAAGTAACTTAAGGTTTCCTAATAAGAGTGTCTTTCCTGTTTTGAGACAGATCGTGCCCACACAGCCTAAAATTTGTGGAGATCTTGAGTTGGCCGTTGTTTCAACTAGTTTTGGGAACAGCGTGAGATGGCTAATGGGATTAACTGACATGCACTTTTTGAGTTATTTATATGATCAAAGCAATGATTAAGATTTTGTTTCCTTGAACCCAGCTTCAATTCCAATGAAGGAGTGCAATGACCAGCATTCCAAGCTACCCACAAATAATACCAGTAAAATGTTTCCATGGGTAATCAGACTGTCCAATAGAACACAGTGCAGTGTGGAGATAAGAGTAGATTTTTTTTTATGTTTCTGTTATGCTGTTTTCTAATCCCATAAGCAGGCAGGAGATTCATAGTCCCATTTCTCATTTACAAAAAAAAAAAAAAACTTTCTCCCCTATTCACCCTTTATGGATATTGAGGACCTGCCTGATACAGTATGTGAAAGTACTTGGAAGTGGCATGGCCCTCAACACTTCATTAGTTTTTATAAGTTGCATTTATGCATGACAGATCAAAACCACTCCTCCCACGCTTCAGTGATGCATTCAAAAGGGAGTGTAAATTTATTATCAAACACATGAAGCAAAATCCAGTCTCAGAGGTGTTCTTGCCTCAATCTCTAAAAATATACCTTTATTTCTGATTCTCGAAATGGCACAGTGCTCTGGCATAGTGACATAGTGTTAATCACACAGACACTAGATTAGCTTTGCAGTTCTTTCACTTGCTAGCTAAGGACCTTGGCCAGGTATCTGACCATCTATAAAACTGCTTTCAAATCTACAAATATTATTATTATAATCACACCCATCCCACAGAACCATGGGAGGATGAGTCATTATAAAAGAAATAGTAGGGTACCTGGCACTCAGCAACCTCAAAGGTTGCTGTGAAACCGTATTTGTGAAGCTAATATGCAAGCGGACATCCCGCTAAATGGGAAAATCCAGTTCCAGGTATTAGCTCCCTCTCTGATGGCTTGTGTAATCCTGAATAATTCACCCAACTTTTGAGTAGCTCAGCTACAAGCCATAAAATAAGGATAATATTAACTTTATGATGTCTACATAAAACTCAAAGACAGCACGTGAAAGTATTTGATTGTAAGACAGAACATAAATGCACATGGCTGTTATTTAATTTTTCTATATGAACAAGCACACGGAAAACAATTGCAAAGATTTTATTTAGCGGCTTTCTGTGCTTGGCACTCAGAAACAGTTCCGTGCTTAAGGGCAAACTTTTATACACCTTTTCTTCATACATATTTTACATACCCTTTTATTGCCCCCTTTTTAATATTCATAATATTGAATACCCCACTAGGCATATAAATACATTTATCTACAACACCTCAAAACCAAAAAAAAAAAATTCTTAATAATATCTGTATTCTCTTACTTGGTATCATTTGCGTTTCCACATCATTTAAAAATTTTAGCTTGCAGCAAGCTTCACTTGTTTTCTTATCATTAAAGGATTTGAAAGGAAGAGGAAAGAAAACATAATCCCCAAACTTCAGAATGCAATGAACTATTTGATCAAAATGGAGAGCTACAGGCAGGTAGAAAGGGGGTAAGAAGACCCATCCACAATTCTCTCTGGTGTGTTAGGGTTTCTCTTGCATAGGACCAGGGACATATTGTCCAGGTCAGTGCTTTGGATTTGAGGCCAAGCCTGTCTTCCACGACTGTTTTTGGTATCACGTGGGAGATAAAATCATTCTTCATTCTCCAGATCCGTTTCCCTCATCATGCTGGGGTGCATGCCATGGAGCAGCACTACTCTCTCCTGGGCCGTTACCGTCAGAGCTGTGGAATCAAGCATTTCTTGTCCTAGCCCTTTTCATTGGTACCCTTGACTATAAGCTGGGTCCCAAAGAGGCTTAATCTCCAATAACACATTCTTTCTATAACTTTAGGGGCTAAACAAACCCAAACAATTCTCCTTGGTGAATTAATTCTCCTCATTTGTTCACATCTTCTCAGTCTTGCTGTCCACTCTCTCCTGCTCTCAATTCTCTTTCTCTCTCCCAGCTTTTCTCACCCTGTCCTTCCACAGACACCATTAGAACATCAGTGATGGCATGCCGTATGAAGAGAGGCAAAAGTTTAACAGCAATCTTTCTCAGGAAGCCAAGTCCAGTTGTACCACTGATGTCTTTCCACCAGTGATGTGGAGAGGTTGTAGGGTACACTAGAACGGTTCATTCCAGAAACATGGTAAGCTGCAAGGGAGAAAGGCTAATGGCTAATGATGACCCAATCCATCTAGGGCAGACAAATTTTTGGTGAAAGCACCCACTCTGGGCCTCCTTTCATAGAGTTCACCCAGTTAAGAGTCAGTGTGTAGAATGTTTGTATTTGTATTACTTTGTGTAAGCATGTGTGATGTGTGTGCATGAATAAATTCATGTATGTATGTATGTATGTATGTATGTTTGTATGTCTGTTATGTATGTATGTGTAATTTTCTTGGCTGCTACATGTTAGCATCTCCTTCAACATTATTATAAAATGATTGTTCAGTCTCTTCAAGGCCACTCTGTCATACACAATGCTTTTATAAAACTAAGAGTTTTTGGAAGGCAGAAGAATGACCACTGAGTTATGGATGATGCACTCCAAGGATCCTTCAGTGGTATTTATGGGTGTTCTCTGTTTTCCTTATCCAGAAAAAACAAAAACAAAAACAAAAACAAATGCACAATTCCTATATTCCCAAGGCACAGGGTTCCCAGAGGAAGACCCACCCACAGAGATTCTGGAGTCTTGACTGCCATCACCTCCATGGAGTTTGGACTGCTCTTTAAACCATGTGTACTGACATCTGGGAGGAGGAGCCAGGGACTGCCCCATACTGCCGGCCATCACAGGTGTTGGTAGCCTGCTGATTATTAGCTGAAGGGCTGAGCATGTGCATGCCATGCTCCATTCCCGTGGGCAGGTACTGCCTCTCTCCAAAGGCCCCATTGGAGGGAGAAGAACAGAGTAAAGTGCTTTGAGATGCGCTCAGTTTTTCTGGGCTTGCAGCTAGCCTGGGGGAGGTGGGGAAATTGTATCCATACAGATTGTAGGGATTGTGAAGGGAGAAGGCATTGTAGGAGCTCTGCTGCATGTGGCTACCACCAAACATGTGTGGTGATGAGGAACTGGAGGCTGCATTGCCTGCCTGCATGACATACTGAAATTGGGAAGTGGGGAAGGACCCCAACTGGCCACCATAGGCTTCCATCTTGCTGTTGCTAGGCAACGAGGGAGGCGTTGGTATTCCTGAGATCAGAGATGGAGTCCTCTGAGGCATGAAGGTTTCGGAGGGCTGAGTGGCTGAAGCCGTGCCACTCTGGAGCCGGTTGTAGCCACTGTCACTCAGCCCTGGATAGCTCTGTAAGGCAGCCATGTTGCTTCGGGCACATGGTGGATAATCAGAGAGGTTTAGATTACACAGCTGGCTTTCTCGACAGCCCACGTTGAAAGTATTGGGGGCCAAATGAAAAGTTGGAGGAGAACAGGATGGAGATAAGAGATGAGAAGAAGCCGAAGGGGACGGTGTCCCAGTGCTGGAGGTGGTTGGGGAAGTACCTGTACTGCCCCCTGAAAAACAAAACATAAATTCCATTGATTAAGATTAGTCTGTCTAGGCAAAAAATCCTACATTTGAACAGATCAATTGCTTCTTTTTATATCAGAAGATGATGTCACATATTTGAGCACATATTACAAGAAGAGGACAAAGGATGACACAAGACTACTAGTCTTTGCATTTCTCCCTGTAATGGTCTTAGTCACACTTCAAATATTTAGAACAAGCCTCTGGTGTTCTTTTTTTTTATGTTCTCACCATCAAAGTCACTTCCGAATAAGACTTTCAGTGATCAGCAGTAGGAGCTACTAGTTCAGCTCTTCCCATGCTCAGAACAAAAGTGTAAGCTGTATACTTTCTACAGCAACTCTTTCCTATCTTGCAATCTTCAGTAGAATACCAAAGGAGTAGAACACCAACAGACTCCATCTGGTTTCTGGATCTGGGTATATGGGGCAGAGCTTGGGGAGGTACATTTCAGGTCCACAGGCTGCACTTTGCTATGGAAGACCTCCAAAATCCTATTTCCAAATGACCCTGAATCTGTCTTGCAAAGAGTTGATCATCAGCCATGTAGATGGCAGGGTGTATGAATGGTTGAGGCTCCAATGAACTAAGAACCAGTTCACGTCAACCTTCATCAAAGATGTTCTCTAAATGAGAAACCCAAAGAAGGCCTGTGCAAGACCCATCTTGCTCAAGGGCAGGAAGCATCTACTCTCTACCTCTTTCAATGGACTTCAAAGGCAGTAAGCACTTGGGGTAGCTGAACCTTCACTTAATCCTAGAAGATTCAGCTGCTTTGTCCTCTCTAGAATCCTTCTTGATGAATTACCTTCCATGCACTAATATGGTACTTCTCCTAATTGTTGAGAAGCATGGTCCTTCGTGGGACAACATGTCTTAAGTTACCGATAATTCTTGTTGAGGCTCCAAGAAACTAACCATCATTAGGAGGTAAGGAATTTTTTTCAGGTGAAAAGGAACAGGAATGAGTTTTGTTTCATTTCAGTCAATGAAGAAAACTAGGAGCGTTCCAGATGTAATGGGAAAATATCTAAAGTATTCTAGGAAGGGAAAAAGTGGGTAGAGGGAACAAATGCTTTTACCTAGATCCACAGGCAAAGTGGGAATATTGGTAATAGAAGTAAAGATTTGGCTTTGTTAGTATTTTTTCAGAGTTAAATTTTTGGTTTTTGCTCTTGTTTTTTCGAGACAGGGTTTCTCTGTATTGTTTTGGAGCCTGTCCTGGAACTCACTCTGTAGACCAGGCTGGCCTCGAACTCACAGAGATCCACCTGCCTCTGCCACCAGAGTGCTGGGATTAAAGGTGTGTGCCACCAACGCCTGGCTCAGAGTTAAATTTTTATAGCTCAGTTAACATCATCTCTTCCATAGTCAAAGGAATTTCCCTCAGTGAACTTTCAGATCCAATTGGAATTTGAAGACAACCCAATCAGCTCTAATTTTAGAGTCCTATCAGAAAAATCTCCTTTCATAACAAATTCCTATAAAAAGAACTGCAATAAGTCTGTAATAAGGCTAGCATTGTCAAAAACTGCAACATCTGGTCATGGTGGGAGGAGCTTCTCTTCAGTTTACAGCCACACACTATGAAGTCTACCTCGAGTTCTCCACAGATGTGGAACAAAGGGCTTGAACCAGTGAGCCTCACTTTCCATCCTTGTTATACTGTAGCTGCATCTAAGGATTAAAGGAAGTATGGACAGTCAACTCCAAGTGCTTTCCAAGGAATCACTTTAATATAATGAGGGAGTCCAAGAAGGGGAAGATTCTGGAAGCAGAAGCAGACCATCTCATGCTTCCTGCTTCAAGTAGCTGGATGGCCTCCTTTCCCTCAGTTGTCTAAGGACAGCTCAGAAGTTTATTTATTCCTCTTTGTGGCATCCTATACACATTTTCTGCTTCTCCAACCTAAATGCCATGAACGTTATTGCAGTAAGTGGCTGTGGCACAAATGGAGAAACTTGACTCCAGCTGTAAAGAGATTTGTGTTTTACGAGATATGAATATAGTCTCCTGTCTTTGAAAACTAGTCCTGCTCTCCCTGGTCTGGTGTTTACGTGGCCCCCGAGGAGACCACCTGTACAGCACGCTGTCCTATCCTGTTGTAGGTGAGCTCCATCAGGTCCTGGCCTCAGCCCTGCAGCCGGAAGTGCACGATGGAGCAGATGACGTTCTACAACTCTAAATGGCTTTCTCAGATGGCCCAAGATGGAATGAATGTTACTGATTTAAGGCCTCAATTGGTTTCACTACAAAAAAAAAAAAAAAAAAAAAAAAAAAAAAAAAAAGAAGAAGAAGGGAACTATTAACAAGTTACAGGGGTTTCTGCTGAGCAGATGAGAGGCACATGTTAAAAAGTTTGTAGTCAGCTTGCTTTGGCTTTTAAATGACATTCACTGGAAATGAGACTTGGTGGCCTGCTGAGCTTCAGGGGGGTGGCAGCCTCCATATGAGCTAGCGTTTGAAGGAAAGAGTAAGCCTGTCCAAAAGAGGGTCACGTTGCTTCCATCCACTTTGAAGAAACATCGTTATGCACTTAAAGTACTCAATACAGATAATAACTAGTTCTCAAAGTCCACATAGAGAGAAGGAACTGTGGTATTCATTTTGGAGAAAAGCAAACTGAGATACTGAGAAGTCTTTATTCTCTTATGATCTAATGGCTTGTCAAATGTTAAACAAGATTGGGAGTGCCAGACAAGTGCTAAATAAGCTTAAGGAGACAGCCCACCCTCCCGGTGCATTTCAACACTTGGCTAAGCAGGGATCTCTCATCACAAAAGAGCCAGGGCAATGTGGGAAGCCAGGCTGGGCTGATCAAGGCTGCCTCTCAGAGTAATGCTTGTCTCCCTGACCACTGTAGTGTTCCCTTCTTTCACCCAGTCTCTCCTCTGTCCCTGCCAGGACATGGGTTCTCTGAGCATCTTGATATAAATTTGCTTAATAGACAAATGTAGACTGTGGATGTGAATGAAGCCGATTCCGATCCCTGCTATCTTACAATGGGGCCTTGGTTAATCAGCCTCTCGGAGCTTTGGGCTCCATAGTTACTATATAAGTGGGTTTTCAAATAACTACCTTTCTGGGGATGTTTTGAGAAATTACAAAGTGACCATATTCTGGCATATAGACATTAAACGTGTGCTTTCACATGAGAAGGAGTAAAGGATGTAAAAAGAAACCTTGAAGAAAGTGCACTGCAATAGAGATGGCTCACAAGTATTGGCCTCTGTCCAGGGAGAACAGGGCATCTTGGTCTCTATACCCACTAATGAACATGATGTCACAAGATGTATGTGCCATATTATTTCAGGCTAAAAGAACCTCTATGGTGTGGATGATGCAAGACATCCAATTGACAGCTCTGGGCCCGTGAAGGAAATGAGCTGTTCCCTGGCTCTATTTCTTCTCAGATCAAGCAAAGCAGAACTCATTGGATACAAGGAAGTATAGTGGTGCCTTTCTCCATTGTCCTCAGAGATCCTAGCCCACGTCTGAGAGGGGATTGAAACATAATGCCTTTAATAACTTCATATTCTTAGATAATCCAAAATTAGTCTCCACCATTTCAACTCCCTACCTCCTGTTTTACTCAGGGACCAAAGTGAGGAGGCACATGTTAAAATGCATAACCAACATTAATTTGTGCCAATATTCAAGGCTAAGAGCCAAAGCAACCAAGAATGCATATTTAGTGGTGAGCCCATATGAGGACAATAACCTAGAATACACTTGTGTACCATGAAGACAAGTTAAATGTGTCCGTGAAAATCCTGAATACCAAACCTGCTGACTTTTGCATCTTTAAATTGATCACTTCCAGATTGTAACATGGGGGTTTTCACATGCAGCTTCCTTTGGAGTTTATTTTGTTGTGATACACACACACACACATACACACTCACACACACACACACACACACACACACACACACACACACACACACACACACACACACAAATCAGATAAAACCCCATCTGAAGAATAAATTTCCATGTAACTATTTGTTCTAGGGCTAGACACTTCCCTCCTTATAACTTGATAGTGTCTGTCCCTGCAGAGTGCTGGTTCCCAATGTATTCAGATATGTAAGAGGTAAAACAGCAGCAGCCCATGACCTTATCCCAGTGAAGAAACCCATAGGCCATAAAGTTTAATGAGCATGGGCAACTGAGAAATTATCCTCAGCTAAAATGAGAATTTTTCTCATGATACAAATGTGAACATTGTGGTCCTAATGGGAATTGTCTGGTTTCATAGAAAGATGAAAACCTCCTTCATCCTTTTCTATCAAATGTAAAGCTCTACATAGCTCCAAGTTTATTCTTGTTCAAACATCCTCATCCAATCATTCTGCTCTGTACCTGGCCCTATTTGGCCACATTCCCTAGATATAGCACCCTATTTCTTAGGCTCCTTCAGTTGCTTTCCTTGCTGGGCTTTCCTTATTGTCACATGCATCTGTTGTCATGTCATTTAATCTGCTTCTCTCAGGGGAACAATCCTTCCTTCCTTCCTTCCTTCCTTCCTTCCTTCCTTCCTTTCTTTCTTTCTTTCTTTCTTTCTTTCTTTCTTTCTTGGGGCCCAGATTTCCTCTACTTTCACACTTTACCTGCAAAAAATGCTTATGTATCTGGCCTAGAAAGCAAAGCATCATATTTCTCACACCATTACAGTAATTGATTCTGAGGGGACCCAATCAGAATCACAGAGATTTGGTGGGATTTTTCGGAAAGCCCTTGATCAGAGACACATGCCCTTTCTTCTTAGAGATAAAGCAAAAATACCTAGGGCAGAGGATACTTTCTAAGCTATCAAAGGGGACAACTAAGAATAAAGCCACCATGGAGGAAAGTAGAAGGTAAAGAAATGGGGCACATTCTAGCCAGAGTGATCTTGCTTAGGCCCCTAACTTAGGCTTTGCCCAAAGAAGTGACTTGAACCTTTCCTGTTTTACAAGCCTGTGAATTGCTTTTTTAATTT